TGAAAAAAATCCACAGGTTTTTCAATTCCTGATACATATCATGAATTATCTATGAAAGACTAGCATATCCTTCAGTGATTTTGTAAGCAAAATGTCTCTATCTCATGGCAGAAACGGCTTATACCCACAGGTATTACCTAAATACCATTGTAGAGTTGCACTTCTGTGGGTTCATGACTTAGCTGAATCCACTGAGCTATGCTCACTTTCATAAACTCCTTAGAAACTTCCAGATTTTTTAAATAATAAGAATCTTAAAATTAATGGTGCTGTATCTTTTCTTTTATGATTGTCAATTAAAATTCTTGCAGCATCAACTGGCTGTACAGAATTTTATACTGAGTGCAGGAAATTACTTATGTAGTAACTTCAGAAAATCCTGATTAAAATCCTGATTACATTCACAAAAATGACACTCAGTGAAGTAACAGGCAAAATCTAGAATTGTGTGTGACTTTTCACATAATTCTAGGCCAGTTTTCACATTAATTTTAACTAGTAGAAAGAAAATTCTTAAAATTCCAACAATCTATTCATTAAATCCTGAATTTGACACATTAGCTAACTGACACAGGCTAACACTGAAGTTATTTCTGTTAACCTGAGGTGACTGGTTGTTACAGACATTGAGAGTGGAAAGAAAAAGTGGGAAAGAAATGGGGAGGTGTAAGTCAAAGAACACAAGGTAGCAATATTTAGGATGAACCATCTAGAGACCCAACGTACAGCATGAGGACTAGAGCTGACAAGACTGTGTGGGGCTCTGGGTTTCTGCTGCACTGAGCGGACACCAGCATGCTGGGCTCAGAGTTTTGCCGCATCGAGTAGGTTATGGCTGCTCCTGCACGGGTGCCAGGGAAGAGAATGGGAAACCATGTGAGACGTGGATGTGTTAATTTGTTGAACTCGAATAACAATTTCTCTATAAAAATATGTATCTTATAACATCATAATATATGCCTCAAATATACACAATACAATTTATTTTGAAAAAGGAAAAAGAAGAAAGTGGAAAATAGGAGGAAGGAAAAGTGAGGAAAAACTTGGCTGGCGTAACTCCCTAGGTTTTCATTGCACCCACTGAAAACGCTGACTTTTCAAACAGGATGTTAGTTTCTGTGGCCACACAGGCATAGTCTGAAGCACGACAGGAAGACCCTGCCCTGGAGTCTAATGGAAAGGCCCCTTACTTTATGGCTGGATTCTCCGTCCAAGCTGGCGGTGGTGACGTGGCACGTCCCGTCTCCCCGGTTGCTGGAAAGGAAGATCAAGTCACAGGGAAAGGTCTCATCCTCCTTGACCATGACAATGTCCCCAACCTACAGGACAAAGCAGAAAGGACGGTCAACGGAAAGTGCCTCCGTGAAAGCCGGCCCGTCGTGTGGGACTGCTTCCCTCAAGCTGCTCATCTAGTCACAGGTGGATACGGGGATGTGGACGTGGTTCCAGGAAAAGACTCTTGCCAGACATTCTGCTGGGACCAAGGAAAGACCAGGTCAGGTTTCAATGTTCTAACTGCAGATCCAAGAAGTGGCAAAGTACAGCACGATCGAATATTCCGCAGCAAAAACACAGACAAACGCCTGTAACAAGGTTATCTTTGATTCAGACCAACGAAGACGAGTTGGAGTGTTTCATGAGCGTGGCCAAGTGGGAAGTACTCCTGGGAGAAGCCCTGATCTAAATCTAGGCGTTTTATGAACCAGGTACTCGAGTTCTGAGAGTTTCTCCATCAACAGAACCAAGGCGCTGCCCAGATCATCAAAGCATGAGGACAAATAAAGCAAAAGTAGCAACAACGTTTCAAAAACTAATGTAAAAATCAATCACAGAAAGTTCATCATGTGTGTTTTTAATGAAAGGTTATGGTCTAGTTTGTATCTGTATCCATTTTACTTCATCAGGGAGGAAGGCATCTCAGTGGTTTGGGCTGTGTGTCTGGAGGGTCTGGAAGGCATCGCAGTGGCCTGGGCTGTGTGTCTGGAGGGTGAGGAAGGCATCGCAGTGGCCTGGGCTGTGTGTCTGGAGGGTGAGGAAGGCATCCTAGATCTCGGCTGTGTGTCTGGAGGGTGAGGAAGGCATCGCAGTGACCTCTGCTGTGTGTCTGGAGGGTGAGGAAGGCATCGTAGATCTCGGCTGTGTGTCTGGAGGGTGAACGATCATCAGAACCCTCGAGTGAGTGGCTGCAGGGCTCCAGCCAGTCTCGCTGCCACTCGGGAGGCATGCCAGGATCCAGGCATCACCATGCTTCTGTCTACACTGCAAACAGAGTTCTCTGTACCACTACATGATGGTCACAGCACACTGCAAATTTGTGAGACTTTAAAAGCAGAGGTTACTCTTCCCAAATGGACCTATGGGTTTAGTAAAATCCGTATGGAAATCCCAGTAAGGATGTTTATAGACATAAATGAACTAATTGTAAAATTTACATGGGAAGGCACAGGCTCTAGATTAGCTAAAACAACCTTGAAAAAGAAGATTGAAGAGGAATGAATCCATATCCCTGATACGGGGCTTCTGAGATAGCTACAGTGACCCATGGTGTGGGATTGGTGGGGCATGGGGACGGAGACCAATGGGACAGACCAGGGAACCAGAAACAGACCCATGCAAATGTGTTTAACTGATCATGACAGAAGGCAAGGGCCACTCCGTGGAGGAGGGACAACCGGCCAACCCCTGGTGCAGGGGCGATCGGACAGCCGCAGGCTAAATAAGGACAGAAACAAACCTGACTGAAACCTCACACCTTATACAAAAATCATCTCAAAATGGATCATGAAGTAAAACGTAAAACATGAAACTGTAACACTTAGAAAGAAACATGGGAGAAAGTCTTTGGGTCTCAGGACCAGGCAAAGAATGCTTCATTCAGGACACTGAATGTAAAGTCTGCAAAAGAAAAA